AAACTCTTCTAGGTACAATGAAGTGGTCTGCTCCCTTAAATCAGTTAACGATATACACTCTAGAAGGGGATGGAAAGTTGGAAATTTGGTTCCTTTTTTTGGCTAGTCCTGTAACAGCACTTTTAGCCAAACCCACAGAAAGATGCTGAAAGGTAAGGCCTTTTCTTCATTTTGAAGCGGCGCACAACTGTCCAGCAAGTGCGTCCAGATGCACAAGAGGCCCCTACAATAGAGTCCAACGTACACAAAAGCAGAAGCAAAGACTTCTCATGTAGCATCAGATCTCTTGCAAAACAGCACTATGCCTTTTGCCCAACTAAGTTGTTTGGCCTACCCCTTCTATACCAGGCAGCTGGGCTCAAGACGTATTGAAAACTATACCTTATCATTTTGTAGAGCGAGAACAACAATCAGAACTTTTTGCGGCAATGAAGAGCACGCCTATCAGTGATGCATGTTTTCTATAAAGCTAACTACATCAGCAAACTAATAGTTAAATAGTTTCTTTTTTCTCCTCTGTGCAAAAACAGTGATTTCTGTGCAAACAGGAAGTGGTTAAAAGAAAGCCCAATGAATTTGACAGTAAAATAAGATTGCTCTTAAATTCAACCCATATGAGATAATCTTGCTAATATTTAGTCATTTTCCATTTTTTCCTCAGTATAACACTAAATTATTCGCTCTATTATTCTTACCTCTAGTAGAAGCACTTGACTCTCTTCACAACAAAAAAGTTTTCAAAGAAGAGATATCTGTACTTTTTTTCTTTTGTGACTACTTCTCCTGTCAAGGCTTTTCTATAGCATGAACTTCTCCATGCTCTTTCAAAGCGCTATATTTAGCATACTAGATGCTATTTTGAACAGAAGCTACTGAAATTCAGGACTTGACTCTGCACAATGGTTTTGCGCATACATGACACTGGCACAAACCTAAGCTGCTAAATAGAGTTCTGCATATGTATTACAACACTGATCTTCCTTTATGAGACGTTGTCCATGCATAAAATGATGTTTTCTGTAGAAAACAAAATATATCCTAATCAAATGATTCAGATTTAACCTGGGGAGGGCAGAGCGCTGGAAAATAATTCATTCATTTCTCTTTTAGTAGCATCAGTTCATAGCAGCATACAGTTGTTTTTTAATCAAAGATTACATCAAGTGGCAAGTAATTAAAATAACATCACATAACATATAGTTTGTTGACTTTTTTCTATCAGCAACGCTAAACTATGTAAGGGATAGCACTGAAAAAGACTCATCAACTGTTAAAAGTATTAACGCAGTTTCATTAAAATAATTGCATATAATCATTTTTCATTATTATACAGCACATCTGTTAAATTATATCAGCTTAACTATCATAAAAAACGACAGAGAAAATGAAAACCAGAGTCCTTTCTACAGAAGAAGGCAGCATATGAAGAAACCGTCCGAGCTCTCACACATAGTTCAGCACTATCTCTCTGCTCCATGGGGAAGCAAGTTCCCAGATGTGGTTTTTTTCTTCCACATCTCAAGGAAGTTTACTTATTCTATGCTTTCCTGCTATTGTTGTGCCATGCCTTTACGATCTGTATTCCTAAACCCGAAAGGCTGCGTTTACATTCGGACTCCTCTCCGTCTTTAAACCCGTTTCGGCTGAAAAGTCAGAGGAGGCCTGCAACTCAGAGGGCACGGGAAGAGGCGTCTATTTAGTTCACGCTGTTATTGTTTTTCAAACCACCAACCCTCCCCCGAGAGAATCCGGCAGTCAGCGCAACCACGCGAGGCTGAACGCAGGGCTCGCCGGGCCACG